AATAAATGATTTATTCTCAATTTCCCATGGTATATTCTCTATCCACATGCTGGATTCATGACTCCCGAAATCTTCTACAGCCTTCATGGTCTTCAAGATTTTGCAAGGGTAGTTTTAGACTGCTACAGGATTGAGCAGTTAACAATATCCAGTTTGAGTGAACAAAAACAGAGAAGGACCTCAATTGTAACACTAGTTGCGGCCTAACTTTTTTTTTTAATAGATACACACATACTTCTGTTAGAAGCAAACCTATTTAAGGCACTATAATGTGGCCCAACTTCATGATGATTCATACTTTTTTAACAATTACAAGTGGGTTCAAAAACTTTGATTGATTTTCTATCTGCTTGTACGCTTTGAGCCAAACGTTAATGATCCATTAACTACAGAGAAAGAAAACACAAAAAGGCCTAAACTGAAACGATACTCTTCTATTAGTGCATTGGTTCTCTTTCTTCAGGGTCGGCGCACATAAGCCCCAACCTGTAATTATGTTTATTACTCGTGCTATCTAATCTGTCATTACAAGCCAACGAACAAGACAATGTGAAGATTGAAGAAATTAGTGGATTGTCTGGTTGTGGCCTTTGAGAGGGGTAGTTGAACCCCTTCGGTTTGGCTTGGTTTGTTTTGTTTTTCCTTTCAAACGCAAGTATGCTTAATATAATAGTGATTTTACATATTTTATTGACAAAGCAAAGAGCCAAAGACCAAGTCAAGGTTGTACTTTTGGGCCTCTGCCACCGGAGTCAACAAGTCGATACCTTTACCATTCCTTACTCGGTTTCTCTCCGCGTCAATTCGAGTCCCTTATTCAGAGTTACGTTCCTTTGTTGTGAGACGATTCTCTGGGAATGGGCAGTGTGGCGTGGGAGGGAGCGTTTGATTAAGGTTAGTAGTAGGTCTCTTTGATGATTTATTTGTTTGGTCTGGAACAAAAATCCTAGTACAATCTCTGCTATACTAAGATTTCGAAATTCCTGACAAATTAAACACTTCTGATCTCTTCCCCATTTGTTGAGTCTCTGTTAAGCTTTTGTGGTGCCTACACAAGTGTTTAAACGCGAGTGTTTAATTTACTTTATCTTTCAATCAGATCTTTTTAATTTATTTTGTTTGAATTCAATCCTTTGATTTATTATAGGCATCAATCCTCGGGTTAAAAACCATTTTCATATTATTAATTTTAATTTATAGAATTTCATTCACTTTATGAAATTTTTATCATCTTATTTAGCACCGTTGTAGTATTGGTTTATTTCTATAACTGAAATTTCATCAAATTTATATATTAAAATTAAGAAATCAAATAATGAGGGTCTCATTTTTTTGTTAAATAAATTATGAACAGGATAAGAGATCTTGTATGCCATCGGGCCATGATTTGGAAATTTGTGGGAAGTTTGTCAGGCATAGCCGGCCTGGTTTGCTTTGGTTTCAGCTCCACCTACAAAATCTCATTTGGAAAGCTTGGTATTGGCGGTCTCCTTCTTTATCTATTCGTCGCGGTAATCATATGGAGCCTCATCTTATGGGGCAAGAGAATTCGAGTTTCAGAGAAATTCCAAGGCCCTGTGGCAGCTCTAATATTTGATGTGATCTGTTTGATCTCCGCGGTGAATGAAAAACTTCTTCCTGCAAAATCAGATGCTTTGAGCATTATCTCGTATGGTTCATTTGCCTTGATGTCGCTGTCCATGTCAAGGAAGTTTGAGCTCGGATTCGAAACTGGCTTTTCCACCTTTTTCCTGACATTGTTTGCCACACAACTGTTCAAAATCAAGTGGATCCTCTTACCTATTGCATTAGTTTTCTGCTCCCTCATCGTGATTCTTCGCCACTACTCAGAATCCGTAGTACAGGAGGTTGGTCCCATCAGTCCAAGTGACCATCTTCACGTTGATGTTGGTCCTTCGATGGCAATGAGGTCTTAACAGAGTTTTGCAGCAAAATATTCAAGCAACTGAACCTGTTACTTGAACTAACATGTGTTACATCATTGTGTATTTTCATTTTTGCAGTGGCAAGATTCCTCAGGGGTGGGAGAAGTTTCGGGGCAAAGCCAATTATCACGGCGGGGAGGGGCAAGCACAAAAGCAACTTTTCTTTTTTACCTCTCTTGAATACACACCAATTACTTTATAATTACAAAGAATCTGGATTGCTGTGGAGTTTAACTAATAATTTCTTTATTAATTTCTTTTTTTTGGTCTAGCTTCTAACTGAATTTTCACTCAGGTTGGCAAAGGTTTGTACAAGAATGAGAAGGCGCAAAGACTAGCCCGGCGACATTGGCTTGAAGCTGTAAGGCCTTGAAGCCTTCTCTGTTCTTATCCATTATTCCAATACGTTAGCCAAGAAGAGTACCCTCTGTGATCTTGAAGCTTTTGAACAACAGATTTGATCCATATTAAGTGTTGACAATGTTACTTTCTTTTTGTTTCTTGCACAGGTTGACCCACGTCATCGATATGGTCACAATATATTGCTCTATTATAATGTCTGGCATAGAAGCCAAAGCAGCCAACCATTTTTCTACTGGTAAACACTCGTTTTGAAACTTAATCTCTTCACTGTAATTACCATGAAACATGGTAGATGAGGAACTAATAAGGATTTGGATGGCTAACTTCCAGCTTTTATTACATTTAGGTTGGATGTAGGAGAAGGCAAAGAAGTGAATCTTGAGAGATGTCCAAGGAGCAAACTTCAACACCAATGCGTTAAATATCTTGGACCGGTAAGTTCTCACTAATATATGTATGTTTAACATCCATTTTAATTAGATATAGATTCACATCCAACAGACTTAGCTATGAAGATTTGCTTTTTATTTGGCCTGAGTCTATCTGAAAACTGCTGTTGCTATAGCTCATTTAGCTGATTGATGGTGCTACCAATGCAGAAAGAAAGGGAAGAATATGAAGTTATTGTTGAAGGGGGCAAGCTGGTGTATAGACAAAATGGGAAGGTTCTCGATACTAGAGATAGGTCCATATGGATATTTGTTCTGAGCCCCACGAGGTCTTTGTATGTGGGGCGAAGGCAGATGGGTTTGTTTCATCACTCTAGCTTCCTGGCTGGAGCAGTGCCCGCAGTAGCAGGGAGATTAGCGGCTCATGAGGGTGTTCTTAAGGTACTAATAATATATATCACACAGCATAATCGCTTTCATTCTATTACTTTTTCTAACTTTCTGGTACTTCCACTTGTAAGTGTTGTTGCATTAAAACATTTCAGGTTATTTGGCTTGATAGCGCATACTACCTCCCTACAGTAGAGAGTTTCAGAGAAGTCATTAGCTTTCTTGAGGAGCACAATTTAGACCCCTCCGCTGTCAAAAAACTTAAGAATTTATAATATAGTAATTCATTAGATTAATAGTTATCATATTGACAATACGCATTATGTGATATCTGACATGAATAAAAAAATTTAATAATTATCTATATGTTGCCTTGTAAACATTGTATAGATTGAATTTTATATTTAAAATTTTCTGAATATTAGTATATATTTCATTGATCAGATTTATTATAATATTTAATTACAATACTTATTTGTAAATAAGCTCTTTGTTAGATAACGTCTCTAGTTTTTAACTCAATCCATTTAATATATTGATTCCAACAAATATTGTACGCATTTGAATGATTGCTTAGTTTTTTATTTTAGTGAAAAAGGTATAAAGATCATTCACACTATACCACCAGGACTCTCCCAATCCTCCTCAATTCTAGTTATTTATGTCCTTATTTGATAATTTTACATTATTTACAGATGAATATGACACTTATTTCTAAATAAGATGGCCTATCAAATGAAGCATTACCGACAATTAATTTCTTTAGTTGAATAACCTTGAATTAATTTAAATATGCTAACTATGCAGACAAATGAGATATTTGATCAAACTTAATAAGAAGTGAATATGCAACAACAACTACAATGTATGCAAAGGAGTTTAAGATGTGGTACCACGAGTCATTATTTGTAAGGTAGATCAATTTTTATTGTTTGTTCATGTCAAATTAATCATGACTTGTTATTAAATTTTTAAAACCTAAACATTACTTATTTTCATTAATAACTTTTTTTTATTAATATAGTACTCCTTCGACCCCAAATATAAGATCCATTTTATCGTGTAAATTATATTTAGGACCAGATGGAGTATTAACCATTGCCATTATTATCATATAATAATTAACACCCATCTGATTATTTACTAATAATTCATTATTCAAATGATAATCCAATCCAATTATTATTAAAATCATTGTAGGGGATATGTGTGAGGTGAGAGATTGTAAACAAGTTGTTTAAGATAAAGTTCAAGTGCAAGAAACTTATTGAAAATGTTGTTCTTAGTTTGATGAATTTTAAAACTTGTTCTAATCTTGAACAATTTTGACTATACCATCTAGGAATATAATTCCCACAATATGGTGTGTGGAGAATTTTTCTGTATTATTTATAGGTTATTAGTAAGAAAACCTCAGCCCGTTTCGGATTAGCTCATACCCACACCACAAGAGGTAAGGCTAGACACAGCTCAGAGCCTCATCTTCATCTTTAAATGAAGAACCAGAAACTTACTCCAACTTCGTAATTTTGCAAGGGCTGATCAACGTTCCTCTACTTTCCAGTTACGAGAAGCTTATTCATATCACTGCTTATAGATTTACAACTACAAATGTCGATGAACTAAATAAATAAATGAGTATTTACTCTTTCATGCCTTAAGTCTCAGGTTACGTCATAAATTCATTTTTGCAGGACTGGATAGCGAGAAGACTCTAAAATTCTAGGAAAAAGAAAGGGTTTAAAACAGATTGTGCTAATTGTATTGACTGCCGGGAAAATTTACTTGGTTATTAGCAGAAGTAGGATGCTCTCTCTGTGTAACTTAATCATATTTGCTATAACAAATTCTTCTATATGATATATGATATACTCTTGCAGCTGAGATTGAAAATAGACGGCGATGAGAAAAGCAGATCTGAGGGAAAACGATGAAGGAGACGAAGCCAAAGATTCCAACTCTGTTACATCGTTGGGAACGTTTCGGAAAAAGTCCAACGTTGTCCCACCGTAATTGGTGAACCAACCAGTGGAACGCATCGTTTCGATTCGGAGATGTTAATTCAGAGACCATTATTTCCCAGATTTCCATTTTCCAAGCTGGTCAAAAGTTTTGGACTATCTTCGTGGTGCTCTCTCAATGGATGTGGCAACTACTGCCTCCAGTTATGTGACCTCTCCGGACGACCGTATCAAGCTCAACGTCGGCGGGAAGCTCTTCGAGACGACGCTTGCCACCCTTCGTTCCGGTGGTTCGGATTCCCTACTCACGGCTCTCTCCCTCCGTGACACCGGCGATAACCACCCTGTTTTCATTGACCGCGACCCCGAGATCTTCTCCGTCCTCCTGTCCCTCCTCCGAACCAAGCAGCTCCCCTCCACCGCTCGTCGTTTCTCCAAGCAAGAGCTCGCCGATGAAGCAATTTACTACGGCATCGACGCCCAACTCAGGTCGGCCATGGCGCCGTCACCATTGGATGGGATCGACGCCTCTAGCACCGCAACAATTCGACCGGCGTCTGAGGGCTTGTCTCCCACTTTCACCGCCGCCGAGGTCGATGGATCCATTTGGATAGCCCACGGTGGTCAGATTTCTTGCTACGACTGGAATCTCAGCCACTCATGCACCATTCGAACCCATCTAGACGAAATTGATTCTATTTGCCGTGTCTGGCCCGAAATTGCGGCTATAGGGTCAGAATCCAACGCGGGACTGCACTTCTACGATTTCTCCGATGGGCGCAACATCGGGACGGTTCAGTGGACTGATCCTTCTGATCCCCGTATCTTCAAGGCCCGAGTGAACGCAATAGCTGGCTCAGAGAGTTCCATTTTTGCGGCGTTTGATTGCCCGCACAGAGAGAATTCTGTCCTTGAAATAGATAAAACAAAGCTTCAGATCGTGTCTCAGCTCGCTAGACAATCTGGTAATCAGGCTAAGCATACGGTTCCTGGGAAGCTGACGTGGGTACCCCAGAACGGCGTGCTTGTTGGAAGTGCAGTTACGAGCGGGGCTTTTGGATACTCTGGCTACATCAGATTGTGGGACCCTCGTTCCGGCGAGGTGGTGTGGGAGACGAATGAGCCGGGTGCAGGTAGAAGCAGTAGGTTTGGGGATTCGTTTGCGTGCGTGGACGTCGACGTGGAAGGCTTGGCTTTGTTCAAGCTCTGCTCTCAATCCGGGGATTTGGCAATGGCGAACATGCGGCATTTAAAAGAGGATCCGTGGATTTATTTGCAAGAAAAGAACCCAAGCTTGGTGAACACCGGGAGAGTTAGCAACAGTGTGATTCATTGTTACAGGAAGCAGGTGTTTGTCGGGAGAGAGGGTGATTTAGAGGTTTGGTCCAGGCTCGAAGGGATGAAAATGGTGCAGAAATAGCTGGTGGAGATGCTGAGGGTTTGTATAGAAGAAATTTCGTGGACAAAATAGAGGATTCAGAGAGGGGGATTATTAAGCAGATCGATGGTGGTGGGAACAGGTTGTTTATTAGCAGAGAAGAGGTTGAAGGTATTGAAGTATGGGAGAGTTCTTGTTCTTCTGGCGCGATTTCAGTTTTGTGATCAAGGAATTGTCATGGATATGAGAATTTGGTCTCAAACCGGCTTTATTTAGTTGAGCGTGGTCAGCCTACTTTACAACAGACCCTTTTGCATTATGCCAGAGACTTTTCCTCCCTGGAAACTGCAATTTTAGGTATGGCTTCGAATTCTATCAGCGTGTCACCGATGATTTTATACTTACAAGATACTTTGTCCCCGATGATATTTGTTTTATATCTCTGCCAATATTTCATAGCCAGCTCCAAACTCGAATAAAGGAAGGAAGACGATTGTATTAGGCCCAGATAGCAAAAGTAAAACTTGTGAATGGGACAATTTTTTATGGAACCAGAAATTGAAGTCATTTCTGGTCTATTAATTGCTTAAAATACTGCTCTCTTTTAGCATAATACAAATGACTTTAGTTTAGCACACCACTATTTGGAACTGTGAATCAATATGCTAAACTTTAAAACATGAGCATATCATTGGCAGGGAGGGATGACAGGGTTTGTCTTCCTACTACTACTCACCAATTGCTCTCTGAAGTACTATTGAATGACCAGAATCTTTCCTTATTAGAGCTCTGGTAGTTTGGTGCCTACAGTATACAAGCTAAGCTTTCTTGTTATGTAAAGTTCCAGTAACTAGACCTTCTTTCTTCTCCTTTTGAAACTAGGTCGTAGACAAACATTGTCGGAAGAAGTATGCTTTGCAGGTGAACAGATGTTTGGGATCTTAGCTTAACCCATTCTGCTGCCATTGTACATGCCAAAAAGTTCTTAAGATGCGATCTTGATTAAGTTATTCAAACTCATTGTTTTACTGGGATGTTAGGTAACCAGGATTGAGCTCCTCTAAAGTGCAACTGCCCTTAGAGAGTTTCGTGCATAATGCTGGTCTAAAAATTAAGGGAGCCGGTTTTCATTCATCTGTTGGTTTATATCAAGTCATTCCTTCTCTGAAAATTTTCAAGAGTTGATTTCATTGTCAGCGGTGATCTACCACGCCCCTTTTTGTTTCCTAGATAACGGAAGGCTAAAGCATATACAGGCAGCATCCTATATTTTACATTACCAGCTCACAGTTCTCTTTTGCTATGTGGTTTCTGACACTTCTGAAAGAAGTGTTTGTGAAGACTAAAAAATAGTGCTGAAACTTGTAGAATTGCCATACAAATGCCGAAGTGCAATTTCGCTGAGTGAAGTGAGATCAACGGCAGTGCTATTTTGTATGTTGTTCAACTCAGGTTGAATGTGCATAGTGATTATAAGGTTATAAGGTCCCGAGTTGGTTGGATGCTGGTTATTATGGTGAAGGAATTACGAGATCCGAGGTTAACGACTTTTTGTTGTAAAATGTGTGCATATGGGGATGGTATACCATGTTGTAAGCGACAATGGTCATTCTTATGTAAAACAGTAAAAAATTCGAAGGCTAATATTGAAGAATGTCAAACTTTCCTATGACATTTCCATTGGCAGGCAAGTAAAGCAGTCCTGAGTTCTTGTCATTCCATTGTCAACTTGTAGTGCACAAGCAAGGTCATAATTTAGAAGCAGCGTTCTTATGCCTCAAAGTTTACCAGTTTTTCTATGCATCTAAGGATTTTTCGAAGACTGTCTGAAATCAACCCTCCTTTCTGAAGTGACAATTAATTTGTAGTGCATAAGCAAGTTTCTACTTGCTCTTTCCTGGAAAAATCATCATTCACCTACTATGAGGCTGGATTTTTCATGAGTCGAAAGTTTGAAATTCAGTTGTCTCAAATCAAGTTGATCTCCAAATGAAATGTTCTAGTTGGGGTAATTATTTCAACTTACTTCTCTTGTTTTGTTTTTACCGTTAGAAAGGCGGATATTAGCCTCTTAATAATACAAGCGAAATCGATTCTATGATTTTCATAATTTGAATGAACCTTTTACAAGTGATCTTCTAGTATATGAAATAAATATGTAATTTTTTAGTATACGAAATAAATATATAAGAAGAATTTTGTTGAAGGCGCTGTTTTTATGTAATTACAGGAAGTTGCCCGTATAGAAATTTTCATAGCACTACTCCGTAAGGCCATTGTCTACAATCTGTACTTGCCTTTAAAGTTTTCTATATTTGATTTAGTTGTAATTAATTAATAATTATTTGGTGTCAAGGATGTACTATGTAAATTTATACATTATATTTTTATATACACAAAAATTTAATAATTTAATTAGATTTTGATGTTTAGAATCTTATTGATACTTTTCCCTTCCAAGTCTTTCCATTTCATCTCCCACTTTTGAAGAACGCACCGTTGATTGTTTCTAAAGAAAGGACTTAAAAGAAACAACAAGGACCTTTGCTCGTTCAATGGTGGCGACCAAGTTAGACCAGTTTCCTCATCTATCTCCAGCTACCAAAACAAATTTTAGATTAATCATGATAACATTTTAACTCGACTCGCGACCCTCAGGAAACCCACTAATTTTAATTGACAGAAAAAATCTACGCCCCTTCAATTAGCGGCCCGACCAGTTTCCATATTTGATGAATAGCAAGAGAAATATTTAGTAGGTTTCAACCTGCCATTAATTCAAGCCAACCAGAAGAAGAAGAAGAAGAAGAAGAAGAAGAAGGCAGAGTTGAAAGAGTTATGGAAAAAAATTCTCTTGTGCTTTGAATCAGTAATCCTCAATTATCCAGACTGTGCAAATAATTCGGCCAGTTTAATAAGTGCATCTTTCTCCTATCCCAATTACCTCGTCGCTTTAGCAAAGAAGATATTCTCATCCGGGCAGGAAATTTTAATGGATGCAGGATGCTGATTGCTCCGTGAAAAGGGTTATAGATAAAAAGACTTGCAGGGAGGCAAGATTAATGAGGGGTATTTCAAATATTTTGCTAAGTGCAATATGAAATCGGGTCCCTCATAATAATTTTACTTATTCAGACAACTTCTGTGTAATTTTAATAATTCAGGGTCTTTATTTGTGATTTTTCTTATTAACAAACTGCTTCAGGAAGGTGATGGCTTGGTGATTTTTCCTGAAGGAACCACTTGCTGAGAATCATTTCTGTTAAGTTTCTGTGCTCTTTTCGCAGAATTAACTGGGAGGATTATTCTTGTGGCTATCAACACAAAGAAGACTGTTTAATGGAACCACAGTTCGTGGCCATAAGATTTTGAACCCTTACTTTGTGTTCATGAACAATATTCCCACATTTGAGATCACTTTTCTGGACCAGCTTCCAGTCGAGCTCACATGTAAGGGAGGGAAGTCCAGTTTTGAAGTTGCGAGTTACATTCCGACAGTTCTTGCGGGGACGCTTCGGTTTGAGTGGACGAATCTGACAAGGAAAGATAAGTACAGTATGCTTGCTGGAACGGATGGGAGGATTGCATTGAAGAAGGAGAAGGATGGAGAGAAGAACACTCGAAAGCTTGAAATCAATTAAGTGTGATAGCAGATAGGGACGAGGCAAGTACGTAATATATAGCAAATATAATTTTTTTCCTCAAATATATCCTTATATATAAATAGGTAAACGTGAAAGAGTAATAATAAAATAAATAAATAAATAAAAAGAATATATTAAATACGTCAAATTATAGATAAAATAGGTAATAATACATTAAATGTTCAGATAAACTCAAAGAGGATCTTATAAAAAAAATAAACCTATTCAAAAAATTAGATCTTATAATAAAGAACGAAAGAATACACACAGCAATAAGGCAATAAACAGAATCATATTTCTGATAAAGTAATCAATAATCTACATGATTGTGCTTTAATTTTTTTGTTGTTGAGACATGAATTAATGCCCGTTGTATATTCTCTATCGGTTGCATGTTGGACTAATCAGTCCCGAAATCTTCTAAGCCTTCATGGCTTGAAGATTTTAAAAGGGTAGTTTTAGGCTTCTACAGGGTACTATGTCCAGTTGTTGTGGGCAAAACTAAAGAAGGCCTTCAGTTATAACATTGGAACGTGGCCTAACTTCTTGATGATGTCGTCTCTTAGAAGTTACAAGCGGCCTCAAAAACTGGATTGATTTTCTCTTTGGTTGTATTCTTTGGGCCAAACCTTAATGATCCATTAATTACCCAAAAAAAAACCAACACAAAAGGCCTAAACTGTAACGATACTCATATATTAATGCGTTTTTTTTTTTAACGGGCAAGAGCACAGGCTGTCTCTTCGGGGTCGGCCCATGTGATTCCCTTACCACTATGGTTATTATTATACTTCCTGCATAATCTATCATTACAACCCAATGAACAAGACAATTTGTTGTCTAGGTTTTCCTTTTGGTACCAGAGGACGGAGCTGACCAAAAAACCTTTGCCGTTTCTTCCTCGGTTTTTCTCCAGGTACGATCTCGTTGTGGTCGCCACGATTCTCTGGGAGGGGGCATTTGATTAAGGCTAGCAGGTCTCTTTGATGATTTGTTTTTGTTTCGCCTGTAAATGAAAATCTTAGTACACTCTCTGCTATGCTATACTCTGCTTTTTGGAATTCCTCGGGAATCAAACACTTCTGATCTAAGCTCTTTCTTCTCGATCGGCACAAGCGGGTCCCGATCTATTGTATTTTACTATTTTTAATCCGTTCTACCCAATTTATTATTACAACCCAACGAACAAGACAAAGAAAGCTATGCACTGTGCACACAGCAAATGATATATTGTACTCACGGATCATACTTATACTTATATAATTTGAGGTTTTTCTGGCTAATTAAAATTTTAAATAGGAATTTTTTACTATTTTCCCTTAAAACTAAGTTCATCTAATTGAGCTTACAGAATTTAAAGAAAATACATACCCTCTGCTTACATGGATTTTGCATATGATATTGTACAGCATGTTAAGATAGTAGTCTTTAAGTTATGTTACGATAGTAGTCTTAAGTTCCAAGCATTTGCTTAAAGATTCAGATTTTTCAAAGGACACATTCTACCTTTTTTTTTTGGAAAAAAAATTAATTCCCAAAACTGCTTCATCACGAACATATCTAACCCAGTCAAAGTGGCTTGGGAAGCAAGTATTACTTTTACATCTCCAATGTTCTGTATATTAATTACTTAAAGAAGTCACCATTGCCTTGTTAAAAATATGTGCTGGTGCTAATCTCTAACATGCTTAAATTAATGTTATAATTTTATTTACTTGCACGTAATATTATACTACCTCCGCTCCTATTTTTGCCATTTTTTAATTCTCTGCCCTTTCTTTTTCTGTTTTTTTTTTTTTTGGTTGATAACTTTAGGCCGTTTCTGATACGTGGAAAAGAACAGAATGAGCAATCTTATGAATTTGGAATATGTGGGAAGTCTGTTACTCATTGGTGGCCTGGTT